ATTCCCATTCTAAGGATTCCCGTTCCCCTCCCCTCATACCCACTCCATCTCTATACAACCACATCATACCACCAGATCGGCCGACTCAAGCGCAACTTCGATATGAACGAAAGGGACAGAGCCAGCAAAGCAAGAAGGAGACGCTCCACTCTTGTTAAACACCCCGTACGCCGGCCTTCTATGGCCGCTGCGATGTTCTCGGGCCTGGCACCACCAACCAATCACAACTAATAATAAAAGACTACGGATACTTCTACAAGACAGTACTTGCTATATGTTGCGACAGTACTTACTGTACATTAAGACAGTACTTACTGTACATTAAGACAGTACTTGCTATACATTAAGACAGTACTTACTATACATTGAGACAGTACTTACTATACATTATTGAAGTATTTTCTATACATTAAGACAGTACTTACTAGACAACAGTAGTTACAATCCATGGTCGCTGCGATGCTCCAACCACCAACCAATTACACTAATACTGAAAGGCCACTGACACGTCTTCAAGACAGTACTTACTTGCTATTCAATAGGTCTGTGGCGTATGCACTCTGTACTTACTCTGCATCCAAGCCGTTCGCGTGTACACACGTTAAGGGATCAACATAAGTACCATTCCTTTGGGTGGTGTGTGTGTCTTGATCGGAATCATTTGCTCTAGTATACCGTCTCAGTCTGTGGCTTGTGTTACTCATAGGCGTCAATGGCTGCTATTCAGTCGAGTATCTGGTCAGTATCGTTTCTGTATGCGGAGTTACCTTGGGCCTGCCTGGCTTAATTACTGTTAAAATTTTAACCGCCATTAATTCATTAGCATTCCTTTTAAAATTTAAACTCTGCGACATTCAGTACCCGGTAAATTGGCTGTGTTCAAATATATCTACAGACACGAGGGAGATACGAAACTACTTGAGAGCCCATGGAATGTAAGTTTGCGGCACGAGTCTCCTTCGTACTTGGGTCTATCCACATTCCTTAAATTCCTTAATTTTATTCAATACTACCATATTACTTTATATACCATTGCCTTAACATTACAAGCTACTACACTGTTCGATTAGATGGCCTCCGCAATCCAACTACCGCGACTCGCGCGTCTAACCGGTTTCTCTTCGTTCGTGACCGGCATCGTCTCGAGCGCACGCTCTCCAATCTCCAGCAACTCAAGGAACGCCTCTCTAGCCTCCGCGATAGGAGCCTCTGCATAGAACAGAGCCACACAGTCCGGGAAGGTCTTGTCATCTCCCTTGATCTTATCGCCCGCTTTGACGGTGCAGACAGTGTCGGTGACGTACTTGCCCTTTTTGGCCTCTTCGTTCCACTCTGTGTCCTGCAAGATGCCGGTTTTGGCCGCGTTCACGCCGTAATCCAAGATGATCTTCTGGGGGGTGCCAGTGCGCTCGGGGTTGATAGGGATGTTGAGCATCGACATGAAGAAGTTCTGCATCATATCAACACCCTGCACGCCCAGATGGAACATGTGACTGTGATACAAAAGAAGAAAGAAGAAAGAAGCGACGTGAGACTCTTGAATGTGTAGTACACTAGACGGAGACAGGTCTGGCGTTACTACTCAGCTAGAGAGTGCGGGAGGAGGCGAGGTGAGAATAACATTATGTGATGTGAGCAACATGTGTATACACAATGGAAGTTGCTTATAGAAAAAGGTGAAGTAAAATAAAATATAAAATAGAATGAAAAAGTGAGGGGAATGGGTAGCCCGAGAGGGTGATGCAACAAGAAAGCACCAACGTTCTAACAAATATACGCATTACTGCCACATTTCAATCACCTTCAACTATTTACATATGAACAAGGATAAACATGCACAAAGGCAACCGCAGTGAATGTAACAGACAGATTTTAACTATATTCACAGCATGCAATGCACATCCAAACAGTTTGAGCACAGCCAAGCATGTAACTAAGACATAACGCGGACTGACTACCGCACTGTGGTGATATAAACAAGGCAACAATACGCGCCACTATATCTCAAGAACATTAATAAAAATAGATCGAGGTATCTATGGATGTATATACATGAAAATTCACACACACACATATATATATATTATATTTTATATATAGGGATATGGAGATACATAAATACATAAGGAAGTACAAATATATAAATAGGGATGTATATATATTTATAAATATGTATTAATAATAGAAACGTATCTAAGATATATGTGTGTATTAGTAAAAAAAACAATATACTACTATATATATATATATATATATATATGAATTATATATATATACGCGTTGTATATATATATATATTTATATATACGCGTTATATATATATATATATACACATATAACTGTACTATACCATACTATATATATATTGCCAGGGAGCACAACTAAACATAGCTCACTTTAACAATGCAACTTACTCAGATCCACCACCCACGCGAGGGTTATTCTCAATCAGCTGGGCTCCATCGGACGTGTACATGCACTCAATGTGGAAGGCACCCCGGTTAAATCCCATCGCCTTCGCACAGTTGATTGAAAACTCTATAAGCTCCTCCTGGACTTTTTCAGGCACTAGAGAAGGGTAGTTACTACCAGTCTCCAAGTAGTATGTGTGCGAGGGATTCCAGTTGTCACACACACCCGAGTACACAGCCTCGCCATCAAACATAAGCAAATCCACATCAAACTCGAAAATCGGAAGCCCGAAGTCAACCGGCACCAAATACTGCTCGGCCATGAGGGGGGCACCGGCCTTATCTCCCATTCCCGGGTTGAACTGCAATGTAGGGTTGGCAGCCAGATCCGCGAACGAGCGCTCACATATGTTCTTAAACTCCTCCATGTTATCTGCCTTGTACACACCTCCTGACCCGGCACCACTGGTAGGTTTGATGATCAATGGAAAGCCGACCTTCTCCCCAACCGATTCGATATCGGCAGGTGTTGCAATAGGCGCTGAACGGGGTGTAGGAAGCCCGGCACGTGCCAGAGCTTTGCGCGACTCTAGCTTGGACCGTGCAATTCTGTAGGCGTCTGCGGGGTTGCAGGAGATATTCAATAGCTCAGCCACTTCACCCACCAAGGGCTGCATGTTCTCTAAGTGGGAGAAGACACCGTCGTATGTAATTCCACTCTTCTTGACTGCCTCGACGATGGTCTCGCCGCTGGTGAAGTCGGCTGGCAGATAGTTGTGGGCCAGTTCGTATTGGCGGTAGACACCCTCAAGATGATCGCCATTTTCGTCTGTCACGTATGTGAGGATGACACCGTTGTCCTTGGCCCAGTTGAGGTAAGCCCTAGATGGATATTAGAATCGGTTTTAGTCACAACTAAGGGCTCGTACATCAACATCGAACATGAAAAATCAGTCCTGTTTCGCGATAAAATAATCCAGACCTTCCCATTTGATGATACAATAGTTCTGTAGATGTTTATAGACGCGCTACTATCAAGACAATTCTGGTGGACCTCACACGATAAAATGGCAATACAGACTACAATACCGCTACCGTTTGTCCAAATCCAAAGAGTCAGTCTACAACTATGCAATATTGAATGTCATGCAGGGTCAAAACTCGTCTGTATAATTCTTCAAACATGCACTATCTTTCAATATATCCTTGGTCAGTCCACACTATGCATCTAGTCACTATAACACTATGCAATTATAACTGTCCATACTTGGTCATGGGTCCAACGTCGGGGGCGTCTTCAGTGAGCATCTTCGAGGCAGAGAGCAGCAGCATGTTCTTGCCCTTCATCGCAGCCAGGCGAGCGGCCGTTGCCTCAGGGGATCGATCTTTCAGGCTAACCATATTGGGCTTCTAACTGTGCGATAAAAAGTTGATGTACTGAAGTCTGGAGAACGTTCGCAATCCACTTTTGTATCGTGGTGCATAGTACACTGCTGCTGCATATAAAATATCATTAAATATGTAAATATCAATGTGATTGTTGTTTGTTTCTTTTCCCCCTTTGGGGAAATTTAGCTTTTTGGTCTTGCTCTCTGTCCTTTTTTGGAATATGTAGAGTTGTTATTTTCTTTACAGCGAACATCGTAACCTATTATTTTAATAAAATCGAGTAATAAATACACATTCAAATTTACAATATTTATTGAACGTGCAATGAACGCATAGACGGCACAACACGTCATTAAACTCAGCACGTTGATACGGCAATAAAAAAATCAGATTACATTTATAATATATATGAAGTTATACCCTGCACCGACCTTAGGCTACTGGACTGGTTTTAGTAATGGACATACCACTCTTGTGGATTTCTTTGTCAGTTCACTCGGTTGTTTAGGATAACGAATACGCTGTCGCTTGCGTAGTTTGTGAGAGCGAAAAGGCTGTAGCTTGGTGCTGTTTGTGAGAGCAAACACGCCTCAGCTTGATACTAAACATGGACACTGATATATTTTTCCTTGAATCCATGATTGAACTTGACACCATGTTGTTTGAGAGAGAAATCAGAAAGGTAGTTACTGTTAATACCTTCGTACACTAGGTATCTGATGCACTATACGGCGGTAGACAGGTTGATCGCCAGGTACATCAAATATTTCAAGGTAACAGACTTAATCGAATAGCATATCAAACATCCTTCACAAACAGGCAATTCTAAAAAGGTATTGGAACTACTGCATCATCAATTCAAGACCTGTCGCGCTATCAAATAATTGCAAGGCCTTCTTTTGTGCACAAATGAAGATTTCAAGCTCGCACATGGAAATATATTTGTATCAAGACTGGACTACTTAGCTTTCTCTCAATGACGAAGAGCCCTCAAGGTTCAAGGACATTTTTTGAAAGGTTGTGGAGCATCAAAAGCATATGCTTTCGTGAATGATTTTATTCTTCACCAGAAGACCAAGAGTGAAGTATGCTTTGCTTGTCTGCATCCTGCTCTGGTGTAGTTTATTATAGTATATTATATCTTCGACATTCTCTACTTGGGCAGAATCTTTCACTTTTTCTAAGACAATGAAGTCAAGGAAGCCTGTAGTTATAGTGCAATCGTGGTAGTAGTAGTCTTGATTGTCACATCGATAGATAGGATGGCTTTTCCCGTTGCGGTGGGTACAGAGTAGGACAAACACGGCCAGGTAGCCTATTGTGGCAGGCTGCTGGTCGACTATACTTGTTTCTGATGTTACATCTTGCTCATTTACGTGTAGTGCGGGCTCACTATTTGTATACAAGAATGTCTCATGCTCATGCTCATACTGCTTGAGCGTGATCTATCTATCTTTTAGTGGCGACTTGTGAGCGCGACTTGTCTATATGGCACTGGTCTCAATACCAGCAGACTAAGCGAAGAGGAAAACATATTCATAGTAGACTCGCTATATGTATGATAAATGTTTCGGTCTTTGCGCCGGAAACAACATGATGTGGTACGTATGTACTTCGTCTGCACACCTGCCGGTGACGTGGATCCGGTCCTGTTCAGGACTCTACAATATGGAGGAAACAAACGAATCTGACAGCTTGGTGGGCGACAACAACCCGTCGTTCATACAGAACGTTGCCCACTCTAGACCAAGTGAGCTCCGCGCAAGAATAATATCGCTGCTGAACCCTTGCATAGCCGCTACTGCGAAGATAGAATTGAGCATGAATCCGCGCCAAGTCTTCATCTCTCCTGAGAAAGGGGCCGCGGCTATCCAGCAAATCGTGTACAGCAAGTCCGCGTTGGGATTTGTCCTGTACTCGATTGTAAGTGCTGCTAACAACTCGTAGTCTGCTGTATTCGCCAACTTTTCAAACCCTGATAGTGATTTACAGAACGTGATGACAGGTATATCCTCCAACCGCGAGAAAAAACAAGCAGCCAGATATTGTGTGTACGAAAGTTCGCCTTCGACGATTGTATCAATCTGTAGTGCTTCAAAAAATGCTTGAGTACTTTCGAACCTCTTGACGCCAGGAAATAAGGAACATTCTCGAAGGATATCATGGTTTTGCTTGGGGATGTTGTCTTGGAGTATCCTAGGGTGCAAACGAACCAATGCTATAAACATGTCTGCAGCCCTCGTAGCAAAAGTGACTTGAAGAAGTTCACTGTCTACATTAAGGCGGTCCGTGATCTGTTCCAAAAGAAAATCATCAGGGCAAATATTGTCTGCGCACATTCTGTCGAAGACTACCTTCGCGCCGATTATATCAATAATAGTCGACGAGGATAAGGAACCAATATCGCTAGCAATGCTAAAGCTCATTGTAATTGGAAAAGTATAGGCCAAAGATCAAGTGTTATTTACATTTTCAGAAAGCAGACAGCAAGCAAACCCTTTTATATGAGGCATCGGGATGTTAATTCGGTAGTCTACCGGCGTGAGAGACAGTCAGACAACGTGAAACATGGAGCCAAATCCTGAAATCCAACATCTACTAGCACCCGCCACAATTTGTACCATTTTAACCGGAAAGATCAGCCTGCACAAGATTATAAAGCGAGATTTGGACTGCAGATCTGCTTGTGGCAGCTTTTAGCTTTGCCAATTGCCACCCCAGACTCACAAAGACAGACTCCCGACTCCAGAGTCCAGAGTCCAGACTGGGGGGCTCCAGAGTCCAGTCACATCCAGACTGGGGGGCTCCAGAGTCCAGTCACATCCAGACACTCCAGACGCCGCAAGTGCAGACTACACTTTACACAGTGTCTTTAGTCTTATGACTTATCCCCAGGCCCTCTCACTCTCCCTGGGGAGGGAGCAGTCAGGCGGCAGGCGCAGGCGTCAGCCACTCGGCGGTCAGACGGTCAGCCGTGCGCCTGTGAAAGCACATTATTTATAAATAAAAGTGCCAATTGATACCACCAGTCCACCACCCAGTCAGACTCACCAAACTTTTTATGCCAGACTGTCAGACTGTCAGACGTCAATACGACTCGTATGGTGTATATATTACGTTTTACGGTATATATCCGACTACCCGTTTTGTGCAATTGAAGCCTATGTAGGGCTATGTACAGTCTCAGTCACTCGGAACTCTAAACTTTGGTGACTGGTGAGTCGGGACTTGATTCTTTTTGGGTGGACAAATGGGCACGGTCTGGAGATTGGCTTTGGAAGTTTGCCTTGGGAAAGCCCAAGGCCCTTGGCCTTGGGTGGCTAACTACTGTATTTTAGTATTTAAGTCCTTGTCACCATAGGCTTTCCTCCTTGGGCCTTGGGCCTTGGGCCTTTGTCATTGTGCTTGAACAGTTGCACCTTTAGAAATATTTACCAGTTGGGACTTGGGAGTTGGGTTCCATTCTTGGGACTCGGGCCTTGGGCCCTTGGCCCTTGGCCCTCTTGGGGCTTGGGGCCTAGAGCCTTGGGGCATGGAGACTTCGGGTATTTAGTTTTTACTTTTCAGATTTTGTTTTTAACAAAATGAAAAAAACACAAAATCTGACAATATGTACTGGTTATATCATATGTAACAATCTTGAATCTATTCATTTACAAAAGTGTGTTCAGAGATGTGAATTGTAATAGGTGCTTTTTAAAAAACAAGGAGCTATGTATTCTGACTTCAAATCCTGATCGGAATTTTTTTTCAGAGGACCAGAGTCCAGTCAGTCCAGACTCCCCAGTGTCTCTCTCTCTCTACTCCTCGACGTCTCTCTATTCTCTACTCCTCGACGTCTCTCTACTCTCTCTCTCTAGTAGCTAGTAGAGCTACTAGAGAGAGCCTACTTAATACTCTATAGAGTAGAGAGACTCTCTCTGACTCTCACTCTCTCTCACAGACTGAGTCCTCACTCCTCACTCCTCAGTCTGACAGTCTCCTCAGACTTGAGACTCATCAGTCCTCAGACTTAAGACTCCTCAGTCACAGTGGTCTCGCAGTCTCGCAGTCTCGCACTTCCAGCGACGCGCCTCAGTCACTTCTGACTCGACTCTCAGAGTCTGTCCTCTCGAAAGAGTGTATTACTCTCTTAGAGAGTAGAGAGAGAGATCAGAGAATCAGCAGCGGCGCAAAGGCGCGGAGTGCCGCAGAGTCGCAGACCCCTCCAGTTATCCAATTACATGCCTGATTCTGTTCAGGGATTCCTAGTTTCCTCCGGCTATGGCGCAGTTGCCTTTTTAAAAAAGATAGTCGGCCAAATGTTTTGATTTCGAAAATCGGGTTGCATGGTGGGATTAGGCTGGTTGAGAGGAAGCCAAAACTGCCATAAAGAATTCGGCCATTTTTGAAGTGGCAATATATGGACCTGGGGTGGCCAACATTGACCCTGCCCAGGCCCACATGTCTCAGAATTGATTACTGTATGTCTTTTGATAGTAGAAGTCTATCCTACAGAAAGATATCATGTTACAATGCGAGATCTGTCCATACAGAATGGATGATGTTTTAATTAAAGCTGTCTCCGGGTTATAGTAAAAAATAAAACAGTACTTGAACTTCTGCTGGCTCATTTCTTATTAGCCATCTCGGCGGTGTCTCAGGTACACGTCGATGAGAAGTATATTTCTTTTTCGCAAACGCTGCAAGTTGCAGAGTAAGACCCTTATCATAGCAATCGAGTTAACGATAGGCAACCCTCACAAAGCATCTAATTGTATCCAGTTTAACTTTGTTCAGAGCTTCGATGACATGTTTTTGAAGGCCTGCCCACGTATCATCGTATATTTCTCGCTCCTCAAACTTGGCTCGGTCCCAATATCGCTCGACGGGGTTGGACTCGCAATGGAACTTCGGGAGAAATACGCATATGTAATATCAATACTACTGGGCTGCACTGAACTCAATATCAATACTTCTGTGATTGCGCACTGAACTCAAGGATGGCGTTAATGTGCGTGTCACACACATAAATATTCGTTTCGACCTGAAGGAATGATAATATCAATATTTTGACAGTTCGACAGATCTTATCGATTTCTGGCCTCAAAAGTCCAAAATTCGTACTGGAAGGGTGAATACTGAAAAAACGGCCAATATTTTCCAAATCAGTCAAAATCAGGTTTTGAAACAGGTGCAATATCAAAAATGTGTCCGGGTGATATTTCAGATCAGGTCTCCCTGAGCATTTTCTAACTCTCGAATCGGATCATTATTTCGAGCTCCATGGGTCGAGGACTCGAGGCTTTAGTATTTAGTTTTCTTAGAAAAACAAAATAAAGCATCACTCACAACTACAAGTCACAAGTCCCAACTACACGAGAGTCTAAATATAAAGTCGAAAGACTGAAGAGTCGAGGGAGTGGAGGGACAGAGGATGGCAGTGTGGAACATGTAGTTGCTGACCAGTTTACACGTTACAGGTGACTTGGAGAGGTGAGACCGTGAGAGTGGGGGATTTTTATTTTCCGGTTTTGTATTTGTGGATGTAGTGGACGCTAGTAGACTGTACAGTGTACACCGTTTATATAGCAATTAATTAAGAATATGTAGGGTATAATAAGTAGTTACGAACTTTGTTTCATGTTTATTGTTGCAGTAATACATGTATTTACATATTGTTTTATATATATATAGTTTACACATTATAGAGGATTAGGTCACTCTAGTAGCCAGTACGTCCCAAGAACTTTAAAAATTCCGTCATGATCCGGTGAGGCATTGTGAACGCCCTACAGAATAAGACCACAGTGAGAAACGAGTTTACAACTTTTAACTAAAGAGAAAGTTTAGTCTGGTTAGATCTATTTACGATCTGTTGTATACGCAATCTCAACCTGCGCAGTGATACTGTCTAAGAAGGTATTGTAAATACGTATGCATAGGATATACAGACAGTGTAGGAATATATATATATATATATATATATATATGTATTATGATATAACATATGAATACACACACACACACTACTATATATATATATATATATATATATATATATATATATATATATATACTATATATATATATATATATATATATATATATATATATATA